AGTATCTTAATATTAAATTCTTGTTTATTGAACTGCTGTATAAAATCAATATCACATTTGTAATCATGCTGCTTTTTGGTGGAAAAAACGTCATTTCAACTATATGAAATGATATAAATATATACATTTCTGCCCCCATATCTTGAATTTTGTGATCATTCTAAATGCATTTTAATAAACTGAATCATACAGTGAACTGAATCATGTAGCTCTCATGAGTCATGGATGTTAGCAAGACAAATTAATTGCTTTTTGTCTTTTGGGTAATTAGCTGTAAATTCGAGGCACGGGTAGCTTTTAGTCTAAGCTTTAGTCTTTTGTTCTTCACCACTCACCTCCACTCCGAGACAAACACAACTGGAAAGGGAGGGAGGGCTTCACTTCTGCGGCTCTCTGCCTGATGCGCATGTGCCGATCAATGTGTGCTACACTGCTGTGCTGCGGAGACGCGGAGGGACGTCGGAACTCGACAGTCTCAACATTTCCCGACCCGACCTGATATTTTGATTTTTTTATTAGTTTGACAGGGAAAGCTGTTTTGTTGTTATTGTGAGTGCACACAAATAAATGTAGAGTCCTATGTATTACTTTTATCTGTATGAACAAAAATGACAGAGTAGCCTATTTTAAGAGCAAGTGAGCACTCCGGCGCCTCCATCTGTCCTGCAGTGAGCGAGCTTCTACACTCAACACAGACACCTGAACAGCGCACATTTTTCTAGGTTAACGTTAGATTGAGCGGCCATGTAAAGTTGTTAATTCTTACACATTTCAGATGATAAGCCATATTTGAGGTCGATGAATGATAGGCGAGCGTTTGGATGTCCTGCCCGATGTACTGTATTACCAAAGACTAGCCCTTAACGATCTGTCCGTCGTTTTTGGCGCATCTTTATTGTTTGGTTTCTGCGTAGATCTGTGCGTTTGCCTCTCGTTATTTACACTACATGTGCGAGTCGGTGGGCGGGGCTAAACGGGCAGCGATGTAGAAGCTGCATTGATTTTCTGCAGAGGCTGCGTTTAGCCACACTATTACCTCATAGAAGGGCACATTCCACAACCTGTCGTTTTGGCAGATTGGCTTCAATATAAGCTGTTTTTAGACTAACGAGAACGTTTTGTGTTCTGAAATTTACCAGATGTTATTATAGTACAATGACCTCTTATATGTCAAAGGATCAAGGGAATGTTGACTTCTCAGTTCCTGACCCCTTTAATTCTTATATAACTATTCACTGACATCTTTTGTTTTGTTTTTAAAGGTTGTGTACGAAGATGCTCCATTCAGCACCTCTCGGTTTGTTGTCGCTGTTATGCATATTATCTGGAATAGATGGCGGTAAAGTGCTGGTGTTTCCACTAGACGGAAGTCACTGGGTCAACATGAAGGCCCTGATCGAGGAACTGCATAGCAGAGGTCACAAGGTGACTGTGATTAGAGCCTCCAACAGTTGGTATATCAAGGAGGAGTCTCCCTTCTACAATTCCATCACCATTCCAAACACAGGAGGATTTGATGAGGAGTTTTTTGGTTTATTGATTGGCCGTCTCTTGAAGATTAGAAGAGAAGGGTCTTCTATTTGGAACCGCCTTCAGCTGGAGTATGAAATCATCAAGAAGTTTAAAAGCATGCATGAAGATATGATGCAGATGATAGAGAGAATGTTAGAGGACAAGGAAATTATGAAATCAATCCAAGACACTAAGTATGATGTGGTGCTAGCAGACCCAGCTTCCGGAGGTGGTGCAATCCTAGCTTACAAGTTTAATATTCCTTTGGTTTTCAATGTTCGGTGGACCATTCAGGGAGAGGGACATTTCGCCCTTGCTCCTTCCCTTCTGTCTTATGTTCCTGTCCCAGGAGCAGAGTTAACAGACAAGATGTCATTTCTCCAACGTGTCAAAAATGTTTTGACTTACTTGTTTACCCGATTCCAGATTGCAGTCGTCACTGACCCCATCTATACTCCTTTCTGTCTCAAACATTTTGGCCCCAGTGTTAATTATTTCTCCCTTTTCCAAGATGCAGATATCTGGCTTATGAGAAATGACTTTACCTTTGAGTTTCCACGACCCACAATGCCCAATATCGTCTATATGGGTGGCTTCCAGTGTAAACCCGCCAAGCCACTTCCAACTGATCTTGAGGAATTTGTGCAGAGCTCAGGAAAGCATGGAGTCATTGTCATGTCTTTAGGCACCCTTGTTGCTCAGCTTCCACAAGATGTCACCAATGACATAGCAGCAGCTTTTGCTCAGCTTCCTCAAAAAGTGATTTGGAGATATACAGGTCCTCGACCTATGACCCTTGGTAACAACACTTTACTTGTAGACTGGCTCCCCCAGAATGACCTGCTTGGACATCCCCAGATTAAAGCATTTGTAGCACATGGAGGAACCAATGGAGTTCAGGAAGCCATCTACCATGGAGTGCCCATTTTGGGTGTACCTTTAGTTTTTGATCAGCCTGACAATCTCTTCAGAATGGAAGCGAAGGGAACAGCAAAAATTGTAGATATTGCAACTTTGGACAGGACTGTGTTTCTTGAGGCATTAAAGGAGGTTTTGCATAACCCATCCTACAAGGAGAACATGCAGAGACTGTCCAAGCTGCACCACGACCAACCAATGAAACCTCTTGATCGTGCTGTCTTCTGGATTGAGTTTGTCATGAGAAACAGAGGAGCTCCTCATTTACGAACACAGTCATTCAGAATGTCTTGGATTGAGTACCACTCTATAGATGTTATTTTGACTTTAACTGCAGCACTTTTCATATTTGCATTTTTGTTTATATATGTGATTCGATATCTTTTTAGAGTTTTATTCAAAAAGAAGGTTAAATGTGCATGATAGAAATGACTATTGTGGGAGTTCATTGTTAAAAATATTCTTGCTGGATTCGTAAAACAACTTTTCAGCGAAATTACAATTATAATTCACAGCAAATTAATTATCAGGAATTTACTGAATTTTGTAATGACTGTTTGGAACTGCATTTATGGTTGGTAGCCTCAGTAGAGGTAAATATTTATAACCGAAAGCTTGGTGAACTTCTCTGACTTCATGATTGAGTCACTAACTGTGTTTACATGCAGTTTAAAAGTCCTCAGTCTTTTTAAATTGTTTTTAAACAGAAATTGTACCAGTCTGATTTCTGCAAAGTTGCAATAAGAAACCTAAATAATGCCATTATTGATTGTAATGTAATGTTAAATTGGCTTCATCTAACAGTAATCATATTACAAATGGCATTGCTGTTGAGCACATCCAAAAGACAGAGGCGATCCAATTGTACAACGGTCTAAGATCTGTACAGATCTAACTGAAATATTACAGACTGAATGTGTAATTCCATCCTATTATTAGAAACAAATGGAAATTTTGTGAAATATAATTCACTCTATGCCATATTAATTCAGATTATATTCTTTCTTATTGAAGGTTGTGAATGAAAATGCATTACTCCACCCTTCTTGGTTTGTTCATCCTGTTATCTGCTCTGTCAGGATGTAACGCTGGTAAAGTTCTGGTCGTCCCTGCGGATGGAAGCCACTGGATCAATATGAAGGTCCTTATTGTGGAGTTACATTCAAAAGGTCACAATATCACAATGGTTTGAGGTTCTAGAAGCTGGTACATTGAGGAACAGTCTCCTCTCTACACTTCTATTACTGTAGACACTGGAAAGCATGACGATGACTTTATAGTGAACTTTCTCCCCCGTTTACTCCAGATCCAGAGACAAGGAAGATCATTTTGGAACGAAATGGCACTTGCTGAAGAGTTTTATAGCCGATTTAGATAAATTCAACAGCAAATATGCAATATGACAGCTACAATGTTTGAAAATTAGATCTTAATGAATTCCTTAAAAGAGGCTACACATGATATTGTACTTACGGATCCTGCTTTTGGAGCTGGAGTGTTACTGGCGCACCGCCTTGGCCTCCCTCTTGTGTTTAATGTCCGCTGGACCATGTACGGTGAAGGTCACTTTGTTGTAGCTCCATCTCCTCTCTCATATATTCCTGTTACAGGGCTACAGCTTACTGACAAGATGACATTCAGTCAGAGAGTAAGAAACGTGTTGACATATATGGTGTTTTTTTTATAAGCATTCCAAGTACTTTGGTTCTCCTTACCAAGAGTTCTCCCAGAAGTATTTTGGCCCCAATGTTGATTTCTTCTCCCTCCTCCAGAATGCAGATATCTGGCTCATGAGAAATGATTTTACTTTTGAGTTTCCACGACCCACAATGCCAAATGTTGTCTACATGGGCAGCTTCCAGTGCAAATCCAAACTTGAGAAGTTTGTGCAGAGCTCAGGAGAGCATGGGGTCATCATCATGTCTTTAGGAACTGTTTTTGGTCAGCTTCTGAGTGAAATCAATAATGAGATTGCTGCAGCTTTTGCCCAACTGCCTCAGAAGGTTATTTGGAGACACACAGGGCCAAAACCTGCCAATCTTGGTAATAATACTCTAATTGTGGACTGGCTCCCCCAGAATGACCTGCTCGGACATCCTCAAAACTAAACTCTTTGTAGCACATGGAGGCACCAATGGGGTTCAGGAAGCCATCTACCATGGAGTGCCTATTGTGGGCCTTCCTTTAGCTTTTGACCAACCTGATAATCTCTCCAGGATGCAAGCAAAAGAAAAAGCAAAAATTGTAGATATTGCAACTCTGGACAGGACTGTGTTTCTAGAGGCATTAAAGGAGGTGTTGCATAACCCATCTTACAAGCAGAACATGCAGAGACTGTCCAAGCTGCACCATGACCAGCCAATGAAACCTCTTGATCATGCTGTCTTCTGGATTGAGTTTGTCATGAGGAACAGAGGAGCTCCTCATTTACGAGCACAGTCTTTCCGAATGTCCTGGATTGAGTACCACTCTATAGATGTTATTTTGACTTTAATGGCGACACTTTTCATTTTATTCTTTGCCACTGTGTATGTAATTAGATATCTTTTTAGAATTTGTATCAAAAATAAATTAAAACATGAGTGATGCACAGGCTAAAAATAGCATCCACGACTTCTGATTGTGATAGCATGTGTTTTTCTGGAAATCTGAAGGTTTTTTTTATTATTAATGTCTCTTGATTCTAAATGTAAACATAATAATCAAAATAATCCAAAGCATGAGACAGAAAGTGCAATCCAAAGCCAATTCAGTATTCCCTTTGATTTGTTGGTAATTTTGTATCAACTGTTTGAAGCTGCATTTTTGGCTGTTAATGTTCAATAAATAATTGTATTGTGACCTGCTACAATAAAGGCTTCTCTTTATCAGTTTTGGTTAAGCTGTTGTCTGTCCAAGTACTACAATAAATATTCATGTAAAAGGAAAGCTGACAAATACACATATATTAACAATCTCTGATTCTTCTACGTAGTAAAACTTGGACAAATCTGTTGTTGATGCTAACTGCATTCCCTAACACTTACAGAGGTAGTACCTAACTTTATTTTTGATGCAGTATGAGAGTATTTTGATTGTTTTTGAGGATTTGTTCACCCAAAAATAAAAATTCTGTCATCATTTACTCACACCCAGGTCATTCCAATCGTGTATGACTTTATTTCTTCTGCCTTACAACCTAGAGATAATAACCTGAAATAGAAGGTATTTTGTTTTTAACAATGAGTTTCGTGATATGTCAGGACATTATTTTATTTATTGTTGTATTTTGTGAAATTTGTGTACTCTTTTAATTCTCTGTAATATTCTATCTCATCAAAGGTCATCAATGAAGATGTATCACTCCACCCTTCTTGGTTTGTTCATCCTGTTATCTGCTCTGTCAAGCTCTTATGCTGGTAAAGTTCTGGTCGTCCCTGTGGATGGAAGCCACTGGATCAATATGAAGATCCTTATTGTGGAATTACATGCAAGAGGTCACAATATCACAGTGGTCCGAGGTTCTAGTAGCTGGTACATTAAGGAACAGTCTCCTCTCTACACTTCTATTACTGTAGACACTGGTGAATTTGACAATGACTTCATGGATAAGTTTCTCCCTCACCTACTTAAAATGCAGAGACAAGGTAGATCATTTTGGAATGAAATAGCACTTGCTGATGAAGTTTATAGGAAATTTACGGAGTTTCATCAGCAAATATGCAATATGACAGCTGCCATGTTTGAAAATGAGACCTTGATGAATTTTCTGAAAGATACTGCATATGATCTTGTTCTTACGGATCCTGCTTTTGGAGGTGGAGTGTTACTGGCACACCGTCTTGGCCTTCCTCTTGTGTTTAATGTCCGGTGGACTATGTACGGCGAAGCCCATTTTGATATTGCTCCATCTCCTCTCTCATATATACCTGTGACAGGGTTACAGCTTACCGACAAGATGACATTGAGTCAGAGAGTCATGAATGTGTTTACATATATAATGATTCTTTATAAAAGTTCCAAGTACTTTGGTTCTCCTTACCAAGAGTTCTCCCAGAAGTATTTTGGCCCCAATGTTGATTTCTTCTCCCTCCTCCAGAATGCAGATATCTGGCTCATGAGAAATGATTTTACTTTTGAGTTTCCACGACCCACAATGCCAAATGTTGTCTACATGGGCGGCTTCCAGTGCAAACCAGCTAAGCCACTTCCAGATGAACTTGAGAATTTTGTGCAGAGCTCAGGAGAGCATGGGGTCATCATCATGTCTTTAGGAACAGTTTTCGGTCAGCTTCTGAGTGAAATCAATAATGAGATTGCTGCAGCTTTTGCACAACTGCCTCAAAAGGTTATTTGGAGACACACAGGACCAAAACCTGCCAATCTTGGTAACAATACTCTGATTGTGGACTGGCTCCCCCAGAATGACCTGCTCGGACATCCTCAAACTAAACTGTTTGTAGCACATGGAGGCACCAATGGGGTTCAGGAAGCCATCTACCATGGAGTGCCTATTGTGGGCCTTCCTTTAGCTTTTGACCAACCTGACAATCTCTCCAGGATGCAAGCAAAAGGAACAGCAAAAATTGTAGATATTGCAACTTTAGACAGTACTGTGTTTCTAGAGGCATTAATGGAGGAGTTGCATAACCCATCTTACAAGGAGAACATGCAGAGACTGTCCAAGCTGCACCATGACCAGCCAATGAAACCTCTTGATCGTGCTGTCTTCTGGATTGAGTTTGTCATGAGGAACAGAGGAGCTACTCATTTACGAGCACAGTCTTTCAGAATGTCCTGGATTGAGTACCACTCTATAGATGTTATTATGACTTTATTGGCGACACTTTTGATATTTGCATTTGTGACTGCTTATATAATGAGATATTTTTGTATGGTTTTAATCAGAAAGAAAGTAAAATGTGAGTGAAGTACTGGCTGGAAATATCAGGTCTTTTGTGATGTTTCCTTTAGTTTGATTATTTCCTGACAGCATGGGCTTTCATGAATCTTTAAGTATTTTAAATTATTTGCTTTTGGTGTAGAACAATCCATAGTATTAGGACTTGCTATAGCCAAATATTAGTCACAGATAGTACAAGGGCTAAAATCTATCTCCTACATTATAATTAATTTCATCTTTGTGTTATGATTGAGTCAGCAGAACTGTGAATGACCTTTCTGTATTACACTGTAAAAAAAATTCCGTAAAATTTACGGTAAAAAACCGGCAGCTGTGGTTGCCGGAATTTTACCGTAAAAAATACGGTAGCAACGTTTTAGGTTTTACGGTTTTAACTTAAATTTACAGTTAAATACCGTAATTTCATTAACTGATATCATGTTAATATACCAACCTATTAAAGTACTGAAATCTGTTTTGTACCTTTGTAATACTGATAACAACCAAATGCAGGTGGTGATGAGAAAGTCACATTATGAGCCAAAGCCCATCACAAGCAGCTTTTAAATAATAACATATATAGA